TGTGTGTGTGTGTGTGTGTGTGTGTGTGTGTGTGTGTGTGTGTGTGTATGGGTTTACTGGGATCTCCCGGGAACTGAGTGCCACATCTTGGAGAGCTGCTATGGGACTACTCACATCACGGTTCTTCCAGTCCGACCACCATTCCCGTTCTCGACACTCGTGTAGGCTTGAACCGGTCACTATGTGTCCGTTTCGCGTAATTTCGTCTCCTAGCAATCCAACCTGAACCTTCATCCGTGTTAGAGATTTCGTCGTCTTCTTTTAAGTTATTCCTTTGCCATTTTTACATGTAATCTATAAACAACATGCATTTCACCAGGGTTCTTCTGGTCTGCCGTTTACTGCCCTTCCTGGAATTTCCAAGAATTACTGCAGGCGGTTACCGGACTTCAGCGTCCGAGAGCTTCTCCCCAGACTGCATTGCCTGGAAACGCGCTCCAGCGCGCTCACACCGGTCGAACTCATGCAAAACTTGTCCACATTTGAGATGGCCTTTGAAGGGGTCCACACTGAAGTGTCATAGCCTCTCCACTGAAATTGTATTACTCGATGTCGGCTGGCTCGTGTCCGGATGCTTCATCGGACGTCCATCACTTTCTCCACTCTCTGCACCGGGTTTCATGCTTTTTTCGCTCAAAAGAGAGGCATCAAGGTCATCATCTTTCGGTATGTCCAGAGTGTCCGTCGCCCTGTCAGGAAAAAGAGCCCGGGTAATCAGTCCACTCACGAATACCCACGGGTAGCGCCAATAATCTGTGACTTCGGCTGTACTGGAAATCATAGCTTTTCTCGACTATCCTGAACGGCCCGTGCCAAAGGCGTGCCGGTCAATCCCGGACAAACTCGAGCCGGATCCAGCCACACAGAGTCACCTACATCGAATCTCGGCTTGATCCAGTCTGACAGTTGCTTCCAACGGGTTATCTAACGGGATGAAGTCGTAGGACGTGTTAAGCGCCCAAATAAGCTTCTTGTCCAGTTCGTCCCGGCCACTTTGGTCCACAGCCAGTACTTAAGTTCGGAGACTTCGGATACATACTGGACGCTGATATTTATTATTACTTCTATTTTTTGTATCTGGGGTCCTGGTCGTGGCGTATCATCTCGCATGCACGGAATCTCCAGAGACCTCATTCTTCGTAGGCTTCTGTGTGGTGAAGCGCTTGAGAAATTTGGAGAAT